GTTAATTAATTTTCATTATAGACAGCTTTATAAAAGTATAAAAGCTCTCATAAAGTATTTTTCTGAGGTCTGTCTTGTCAGGTAAATTACTGTACACAGTGTATTCATTAATTTTCATTTTCATGTAGTAAAGGCTCTATGCTTTCATAAAGGACGTACTTTTCCTTTGTTTAAGGTATTTGGGCAGTTTATTCTCTGTTATATTCTCAAGTAAACAATACATACAAGTACAGTACAGTATTTTCTGAGGAAACACTTGTACTTATTTTTTTTAACCCCATTCCCGATAACCCGGCATTTTCACAAACTCGCCACCCTTCGGTCCACATTAGGCCGAGTTTTCGAGGTTCTACTGTAGTAACCAGATCTAAGTATGATACCGGCTCGGACGTCGCCCGGGTTAACAAGGTCCGCGTTCGTGGGTTAGGCAGAGGCTCACGTTCGAAAAATAGGCTCCAGTCTCCCTTGGTTACCAGTGGCGAAAGCAGCACTGCCCCAAGTATGGCTACTGCAATGCCCTCAACAGATGTGAGGAACCAACCTAGCCTTGGTGTTACTGTGGCAATGCATACACAGACCACAAAGACTGGAAAACCACGCCAACGGATGAAATGGACAACAGAAATGAACGAGTTTATCATCCGCACTTACTATGCAATCACAAAACTCGAAACAAACATGACAGCGTACAGACAACAACTACACCATAGATTCACACAACAATATCCTCACTTCACTGTCACAGAACAAAGGGTTGTTGATCAAAAACGAACAGTTATACACAACAACCTTATCCCACAAACAACACTTGAACTTATCAAACAACAGGTTGCTGATCAAATACATCAACAGACAGAAACATTTAACATTAATGAAGATCACATAACCTGTCAGGATAATCCAGCAACAAGCACTGATTACAGCACAGACNCACAAAAGCCTGGGAACATTACAATTGAGTAGAAATACATACATCACACTACAGAAGGCCACTATATTGAATACATGCCATATTGTTAGGAAATTCCTTAATACAGACACTGACACACACATTTAATTTTAGTTTTGTTTTGGTTGCTATGCCTTGACTCTGGTCCGGCATAGTACACAGCCACTGGTGTGTACCGAGTATAACCCACTAAACCCAACACATAATAATAATAAGATATATACACCACTTTACATTGGGATATATGTAACAACAAACAGAACCAACTTACAGTGCATTAAGTACAAGTAAAACGACAAAGCTGTATTTGGGTCAAGACTATGTCTCGGAGACTCACTACTAAGCGGAATCACTTTGACGCTCAAGTGGGTCTCATTCTTATTCTCCAATTTTCTTTGGTATTGCTGCTTTTGAGCACAGTCGTTCAAACTTTGCTGGCCATGACCATGAGGTTGTCCACGATGCATTTGCAGTGAAATTAACTAATCCAGGTATACCCTATTCAATGTCAAAATTTCTTTTTGTTGCATGACGGCCAGGGTTGAATTTTTGTCTATGTGTAATGAAAATTTCCTGTTTTTGAAAAAATAATCATGGCTATTGTATTGTCTGAAATTATTTTTTTATCTTGCAGAAACAATATACAGTTTAACCCGATTATAACATCATTGGATGTAACGACAACCCTAATATAACGTCTTTAGTGGCGTGGCTAAAATCTGTAAGTGGCATGTCCACATTGACCTTGACCATGTGTTTTACTGGTAAAAATTAACTGAGAAATGATCCAGGCAAATAATTTACTTAATTTGGATTGGCTACACGATATTTACAATAGTGTTGAGATATAAATCTAAAATCGGCACGGCTGTTGAATTGAAAGTTAACTAAATGAAGTAAAAAGTTGTCTTTCCTCATTAGAGTTTTGGAGTAAAGTGAGGTCAAAGGGCAAAGGTCATGCAGTGGCATCCTCTGCCCTACAAATCAAATTTTTATCAGTCCCACGATTTTACTATACTAGATAATGTTAAAAAATCCACTTGTAATGACATAAAACCGTTTTAACGTCATATTTGAAGAACTCTCAAATTTACAAAATTAGATTAGAAATTTTATTTAACATAGAAGAAACTACGATAAACTACGTGTTTGGTCCTAATGTCAGAGTTCACTTCTCAGAATGACTGTGGGTGGTACTCTTCCCAACTGACTTTGGTGGGGTGAGGTGGCTGTTTTGCCTGTTTGTAGAAGAGGGTCGCCATTTTAGATTTTATTTTGACTTGGTTTTTGGTCCCCTGACTACCTACAAGTCTGGATTTTTTTATGCATAAATGATTTGGGCACCTAATACTCTGTGCCAAATATCAACTCTTGACATGTACTCCTTCAATACTTCTATGCTGGTAATATAAAACGGCAGTACAATTTTATAAACAAGACATAGCCTTGTCAATTATATATATATACAGGATGGGCCAATGAAAATGAAACGGCAGAGTTTTTGGATAGTTTGATTCGTATTTAAGCAAATTGCTCAGACAGGTTGATTTTATTCTCGAGGGGGACATCCTTTGCAATAAAGTTTTTGCGATTCTAAATAAACAGACAAGGAAAAATTTTAAAAACTCATTTATATTTTATGAACTAAACAAACATTTATTTCAGAAAAAAGTAACACAGACATAAAAAAAAGTTATCTATTCAATAAATGTTCGAAATGAGCACCACTAGCCTCCATACAATAATACAAATTTTGCTCAAAACAGTTTCTTACACTTCAGAAAGTTTCGGGTGTTATTTGAGAACACTCGTCTACAATCCTTTATCGTAATTCTTCAAGAGATCCTGGTTCAGTTGCATAGATCTTACTTTTTAAATGTCCCCAAAGAAAAAAATCAAGATGACTAAGATCTGGGGATCTAGCTGGCCATTCTAAAGAACCTCTACATCCAATCCAATGCCCAGGAAAAGCCATGTTCAAAAACTCTGTAACTGGTCTTGCATAATGTGGGGGGGCTTTATCTTGTGGAAAGTAAGTTAGGTTAGGTAAGGCTGTCTTCTAAGTATCGGTCATCATGTTCGACAATATCAACAAGTAATGAATGTACAACATTTTCAAGTAAATCTAAATAATTTTTTCCATTAGATTACCATCTAGGAAAATGGCACCAAGTAATTGATCTCCAAAGATTTTGGCCCACACATTTAGCTTTTGTGGAGTTTGGCTATTGTGGTGGTACACCAATATATTTTTGTTATATTTTTATATATATGTATATATATGATTTTCTATCTTTCCTTCTTTCTTTGTTCTGTGTTCCTTTGTCTATACTTTCTGGAACTTTCGTCCAGGTGTGGGTGGTCGATGACCTAATTAGGAGACAAAGGATTAGAAATAGCCCAGAGGGCAAGTGAGAGACTAAGTGAGTACTTTTTGGCTTTGGACCTAGAAGAGGGAAGACCGTCAGAGAGAGGTCTCCAGGTCGGTGTTGCTTCGGCTGAAAGAGGCACGAAGAGCACGTAAGGAAGAAGTAGCGTTGATAAGGACATTGGCCAGCCAAAAGATAAAAGACATTTTTTATTTGATTATCGCATGCGATCCGTCCCCAAAAGGAAAATTCCCAAGACGAAGTCATCCAGCAGCCGCCACCCCAATCGCCAACTCGGGTACCCGTTCCATCCTAAAATATTTCCGTTTCTCTCTTCTAATCTAACTTTCTTTTCCTTTTTCCTTTTCTTTTTAGATATAAGTAGGTTTAAGTTAGAAGTTAAGTATCTCTTTGTATCGCGAAAGTCTTGCTCGACTGTGAATCGAAAAAGGTGTTGTTTGTTCTTTTGTTTGAAGTAAGGACTCAGGAGGTCGGAATCAACAAGAACCTTTCCTGTATATGTTCACAGAAAAAAATAAAGCACTTCTTATTGTTTTATATACCCGTCTCTTTGTGAAATCAACCCTCACCACGTGCTTATTACATCACTATGAACTTCATGAAATATGCTTGGGTTATTATCTGACCAATATCAACAATTGTGATGATTAACCATTGAGTTTTAAAAAAATGTGCAGTCGTCAGAAAAACAAATGTTAAAAAGATAATTCACGTCAACTCTTAACCTTTCTGTCATAATTTTGCAAAATTTCTGTCACCGATCAAAATCATCTTCATTTAATTGTTGACTAAATTAATTTTGTACGGATGAAACTTGTGAGCTTTGAGGATCTGGCGAATAGATCTTCTGCTAATGTTAGCCACAGCCTCCAGCTTCCTTGTACTTAAAGTTGTGTCTGCAGCACTTTTCTCCAAAATCCCAATCTCTGTCGCTTCATTTCTTACTGGATGTTTATGTCCGGGGCGCATTTTTTGTTAGCCATAGAACCCGTTAACTGAAACTTTTGAACCAACCTTAGAAGTATTTTGTGTCACAATGTTTGTTTGGATAGCATTGATTAAATAAATTTGCAGTAAGATGAGCATTCTCACCATTTCTGAAATGAAGAGTTACTATTTCCACCCATGGAGCAATTGTATAAACCATAATGATTATGTTGTACAAAATTCACAATAAACAAATAATAATTAGTGTTGCAACAAATAGTATATTCGGCCAGGAGCGTGGCCGAATAGCCGAATATTTGGCCAAACTATTCAGCTCAATTAATGCTCGTACAAAAATTGGTGCACAAACTGCATTATTGCAAGGACCCTTCTCTCTATTGGCCCGCTGTCACTACGTTTCACCAATTGCATTAATTCTTGACAGTTGTAGCAGACAGACAAGAGCGTCATGGCAGTATGTGATAAATGATGATATCAAATGTGGATGATGATAAGCTGTCTCAACTTGTTCGATTATGTTATCAACTGAATTTCATATTTATTTTCACATTTTTACAGTCCTTCACGTGTAAATAACGGAAAAGAACAGAGAAGGACCATGAAAATGTGAAAATAAATATGAAATTCATTTGATAACATAATCAAACAAGTCGAGGCAGCTTATTGGCGTGAAATTCACAGCAGTCAATGCCAAACAATTGTTGTCATAGACTTCGGAAAGCTAAATGCTTGTAATGAAAGTCACTTAGTGTGCATGGACAAAAGCCTGGGGCTGTTCGGGCTACCAAGTTATCTCAAATCTGTGAAATCATAACTGTGACTTAATTTGACGTCCTATCTGTCTCTTTTCTCGTTTATCACCAGGCTATGAGTCACGTAATTCTAAAATGAGAAATCTACGACGGAAAAGTGACAAATCAAAAGTATCATGAGCAATGATGTATGCATAGGCATACGTGGACTAGAGCGATAGAGGAAAGAGAAAGGGAAGAGCAAAAACGAGCAGTTAAAAAGAAGGATAGGCAGTGTCAGACCCTCAGATGTGTGACAATTCTTGAACGAATAGGTGTGTACTGTACGTGTGGTGATCCTTGTAATTATAAATTGTGAATACATGTGACTAATATTATTTTTTTTTTATTTTGTGCATGTTATAAGTCACAAACAAACTAGTAGCCCAGGACGCCCCCTAGTGGGCGTTATTTACAAATTTCCATGAGGCACAGTTCCTTTGACTTTTTTGTTCCTATCAATATGCTGTACAGTTCCATTAAAGTCCCAATGGTAAGATTTACCCTCCGAATGAAGGGGTGGCAACCCTCCAAACTGTAGCTCCCCTGTGCAAACAATAAAGTCAAAGGAACCATACCCCTATTCGTGACCCTTCACGAGATATAAGCTTGTGAAAATTTGCCTACGTCATTTCTGGTCATGTGACATCATGGTCAAAAGGGAGCTTACTGCGCAAAAAAAAGTTAACGCGCACTTGCCCACACCTGGGGGGTCGCCGACCTGCTCATTCACAGGGTAAATTGTGGCAAACAGGCGGTCACATGACTCATAGAATAATTTTCGGAGGGCTATATCTTGGGAAGGGTCGCGCATAGGGGTCTGGTTCATTAGACATTTATTGTTCGCACAAAGGGGGGTCGCCACCCCCTTCATTCGGAGGGTAAATTTTACCGTCTCAATTGCATCATATGGATCTATATTTCTATCTATTAAACATTCTATAAATACTTTAAAATAGTTTAATTTGTTTATTTACCTTTGCTTGTAAACCTTGATTTTAAATGTATCTGCCATTTTTCCAACAAATTTTCCGTGAGTCATTGCGCGACGTTCACTGACTTGTGAGTTACGGGATGTTGTAAACATGCGGCGCAAGGTTAATCAAGGCTTATAATAAGGCAAGGTACATAATAATTATTTATACCATTCAATGGTATAAATAATAAATTCATATCAATAATAAATTCCTATTACAAATGAATATAATTTATTGTTAATTTAAAATCTTTGCTAGGGTGCCTCTAGTGACTGTTTTTGGCATCTGTTATGCGGACAGACAGATACCCGTTGAATTGGTTATATATATAGATATAAACAAACAACACTAACCCGATAACATTAAATCTAAATACCAAAATGATTAATTTACTGTGTTTTTGTTATTTCTTACTCCTGTTTTTAGGTATTCGGTATTCGGCCAAATAGTGATTAAATATTCGGTATTCGGCCGAATACCGAATAGTAACCGAATATTCATTACATCACTAATAATAATCTTAAATTCTGAGTGAATCACTAAGTGTTCAAGCTTAATGTGAACTCTACAAAAAAGAACATCTACAAACAGATAACACATAATCAGCGTTAATTTTATGATTAATTTTTTTTCTTGCATGATTTCTGACGTGTCCCCCTTGAGAATAAAATTGATCTGTCCAAGCAATTATATATTAATAATATGTATATACAGTTGATCCCCATTGCACTGTTGATGATTCTGTTTTATGAGTTCCATGTTGTACGAGTCACTTAGATTTTACAAATACGTGTGTCGGGCTGTGAACGGTTCACGTATTTGTAAAATCTAAGTGACTCGTACAACATGGAATTCATATAAAATGGAATTATCAACAGTGTTATAGGGGGGTCGACTGTATATCATATATATGTAATATATATATATATCATATATAATATATATATATATTTTTTTTTCAAAATATATGCAATATTATTTCTGATTTAAAATGTCTTTATTTTCTACATTTATATTATACAATTTATTACATTATCTTCTTTGTAAAAATGGGTATTTCTTTTAATCAAGGTTGCAGTCTGGGGTGTGGCAATTGGACTGGGTGATCCCAATCTCTTAACAACCATTACATCCAATACTAAGTCTAGATTAAAACAAAGTAAGAATTTTTTGTTTTTATAACATTCAAATTAAACATAAAAATTTAGTAATAAATTAAAAAATATTTGTTAGATTTTTTATTTTAGTACAGTATTATTCAATTAGTGTATGAATGTTTATTTACTTCAATATGTATATATCATATCAAGTTATCAATGCTTACAGTTAATTATTATATAAATGTGTGCATGTAAATACATTCAATACAGTAGAGTCCCATAAACATGATTTAATGTGGACTGAGACAGTGATAAGTTACCAAAAGTGATGAGTTCTACTGACCCCTGTGTTAACAGTAAAATGAGAGAAATGAAACTGTGTTAAAATGTACATCAAATTTGACCATCTGTTCTTTGGTGGTAGCATGTTGCCAACCATTGTGGAATTTTGCTGAATTAAAAAATTTATTTAACATACAGTGGCATAATGATGACACTAGTCTAAATAGAGGAATTTTCATAAAGCTATTACAGTAGAGCATTGATTAGCTGAATACCAGTTAACTAAAACATCAGTTAACCGAAAGCGATCCAGTGGACAAATTCAAATTTCCACTAGTGTTGTGACACTGCAATATTTAGCTATGTCTTGGGCTACTCCAATATTATTGTTGTTGGTGTGCGTGTTTTAGCTGTAGTACGACCATATTATATCATTCAAAATTATTTCTTTATTTTGCACAAACAAAATAAGTATATTGAAAAATATAAAAACAAAAAATTATATTTCAGAAGTTAATCTAGTTTCAAAAACATTCCGATTTAGCACAACACACGTTGAGAGAGTACTTAAGGATGTGCCAGTGTTTGAACAAGGCTTTTTTCACTCCCATCGTGCGTGGTGTATTTTGCTTCAGCTCGTTGGAGAATATAGCCCAAGTGGCTGACATCTCCAAATAAACCCAAGAAAAAGAGTTTTGTTTGCTTTGTGTGGTTTTTCTAAGGACTGTGTTGTCGGGATGTATGTCGTGCTGAATTGAAACGTGTTCAATACTAGATTAACTTCCGAAATATAATTCTTTTGTTTTATATTTTTCAATATATTTATTTTGTTTGTACAAAATAAAGAAATAATTTTTAACGATACAATAGCCACAATTATTATTTTTTAAAAATTTTTGTTAGGCTTAACGTTGACAAAAATTCAACATGAAGCGACACGCAATGGAGAAAAATATCAACGTGGGATAGGTTAATATATTTTTTCATACATGATCAGTTATCCGATCAACCCCAGTCCCGAATTGTTTCGGATAATCGATGTTCTACTGTATACGAGCAAATTTATTTACATATTAACTATGTATCAATTGTGACTACAGTGGGTGATCGGTTAACGAACAGTTCGGTTAATGAACAAATTGGATAATGAACACTTTCGTGAATGATTTTTATGTTCGGACAACGAACACCTCACAGAACAAACACAAGAAGAAGCAACATAAAATAATGAATACTGTGAGATCCGGAATTTTATTAACTAAAATTTTAATTAGTTCACTTGCGTTTATGTAACAAATTGGAAGAAAAAACGATCTTAGCCGGGAATGTGTAAACCTTCCTGTCATAACTATCAACGTTCTATTGTTCTCGCATAACTTGCAGCTCAACTTGCACAAAAGTTTATGGTTAGCATCCAGATTTTGTCACTTGTTTTAGGTCCCTGGAACACCTATAACCTTTAATTTGTAGAACATCCGTGATGGAATTTCCCTGCAAAAATCTATCAAAGACATTTCTTACCCCCTCTCGGGGGAATCTTTTAATGAAAGCCGGACCGATGACATCGAGTCGAATCTCTGAACCCGCCAAAATTCCGATCCTCCAACATTGATATCTGTTTGTCGCCAGAGTCACAAACTTTTATATTTGTGCTCATTTTCAAAGACACCTTTTATTGGACATATAAATGTCCAATAAAAGGTGCCTACATGGATTAAATCATCAAGGAAACTTACAAAGAGGTATGAAAAAGCATGTAAACTCTCTCTTGAGCTGTTAAGCGATTTAGTGTCGAGATTTGTGTTGTAGTTTTGTCAATTTTATTCATTTTAATAAATTCTTGTTTTATTTGTTAAAATGGTAGACTTCTTGAATGAAATTGTAGTTCACTTCACGTCACATTTATAAATTAAAAATTTGACACTTCCGTGTTGACAGCGATTTGTTAAATTTCAGACGTGCTCGCTAGTACTTTCAACAGTTTACAACCGTCGTCTTCAGGCGAAATCGAATACCTTAATTTTCGAATTGATAGCTTTTAACGGACTTTCCAAATTATGTAATGTGCGTGGTTGGAATATAGAATAAATTAAATCAAATGCTGGCTTCAATATATCCTTCTATAAATTTCACAGTATACTTATATAACAAACGAACTGGATAAATATACTAATAATAAAACACACCTTTAATAATCCAGCTAATAAAATTAATAATATAATAACGTTTTCGACCGTTTCTTAACGATCTTCTTCAGTTACCATAACATAGAATAAAATCGAACACAAAAAGAACGTAAATATGAAATTAAAATATAAATAACAGAAAAGTAGATAAAATAAATGAAAAATAAAAATTAATTCGAAAAAATGCCCCTTAATAAATAAAAATAAATAAAGACATTAATTCTTGTAAAAAGATCGCCAAGCGGTAGGTAAAGAGTCCGCATCTCTATGGTTGATGCATCCCGTTTTCTTGTGTGCTTTAAAGATCTCTAATTTCTCCAGATATTTCATTGTATGTAAATTTGTCGTTGGTTTAATAATTTCCGCCCGATCCCAATGGACTTGGATGTCGTGTTGCGTTGCGTAAGACGATAGCACGGTGTTATCAATTTTCTTATTAATCGTATATTTATGTTCCTTGATACGTTGTTGTAATTTGCGCATTGTTGCGCCTACATAGACAAGATCCGAATTAAAACGCTGATCGTGTNGTACTATTTTTATAACCCCTCAACCGTCACTACGAAGAACATTGTGCAACGATAGAGACATTCTCACGTTGAATGAAAAATCGGGGGTTTACAAAATTCTATTAAAACATACAATATCAGGGGAGGAAATTATCTATATTGGAGCTACCACCAGAATGTTACGGTCCCGCATCCTCGAACATCAAGAAGACATTAGAAATAATAGGCCAGCCACAGAATTAGCGAAAAAGGTGCTAGAACAAGATTATCTTCCACTTCCACTTTGGAACCATGTTAAATTACTTAAGCATTGTAATGATCGTAGGCAAATATTCATATGGGAAAACCTTTATATATCCGCTACTTTGCCATGTAATGCACCGACATTGGAAATACCACAGCTATGGATAACTTTATTTAAACAATCCAAGTTATAATTTTATGTTCTGATTTTATTCCATTACTATGCACGGCACCATCAATCAATATTTATATGTTTTGGGGAGTTTAAGTTATTACAGCAGGTTTCTTTAAAGAACATTTATTTATTCAATTTTATTAATTTGTTCTTTATTCCAACCACGTGCATTATGTAATTTGGAAAGTCCGTTAAAAGCTGTCAATTCGAAAACAGAGGTATTCGATTTCGCCTGAAGACGACGGTTGTAAACTGTTGAAAGTACTAGCGAGCATGTCTGAAATTTAACAAATTGCTGTCAATAATGCCGCAACACGGAAGTGTCACATTTTTAATTTCTAAACGCTGGCGTGAAGTGAACTACAATTTCATTAATATATTATTTTTACTGCCATAATAACTAAATTTTTTCTGTACCCCTAAACAACCTATTGCGTACCCCTAGGGGTACACGATAGGTTGTTTAGGGGTACAAATATCCTCTATAGCAGCAATTCCCAATCTGTGGTACGCGTACTCCTAGGGGTATGCGTACCACAGGTTGGGAATCGCTGCTATAGAGGATATTTGTATTACAATAAATATCTGAAAAACAATTGTCATCCTCTAGTTTTTGTGTTTCTTCCCCTTGATGTAACAAGTCCTTGAATGAAGTAAGATTGATCATTGAGAATTGGGACCTATTATTTGGAAAAGCAGCTGTTTGTGTTTAGGGCTACTTGCTAACTAAGTTTTGTTCAAATCAGAGAGCCGAATGTCTGGCTGTCTCTTGTAAGTGAAACATAGATGAATTCATTAACATGGTCAATAGAAATCAATATGGTTTGAAGATTACCATATACCAATTACCCATTACCAATGTAAATATTGTTTTTGTAAAAATTGACCATCTAATTTGTATTGTGAGGTAAACTGCATCAGTTGACCCAAATAATGGTATATTAGTGATGATTAATGTTATTGAATAATCAAGTTGTAATACAATATTTTTCAGTACCAAAATCAGAAGAATGAATACTGGCTAATATCATTATTAACATTCAACATCACTGATATTGGTAATTAATATCAAATTTATAAATTTAATTAATGTAACTCAAGTACATCATTCAAATTATTTTTATTTTTATCAATTACTGTATATAGTGGCACAATATTCCAATTTAACTAGTTGTTGAATTAGTGTTATATCTATTTTGTATTATTTTTTTTCTCTTCTTACACCATAAGTATTAAGACGGCCTTCACTGCGGAATAGCTTTAACGATTTTTCGACATAAGTATTTTTTAATTTAATAATTACACTCCAAAAATGAATAATTTGGACCTGATTAGTAACATTAGAGCACACTTCAACCTGGTTTATTTCTATTAGAAAAGTTTTACTTCTTAAAATGTGGTTGTAATTTGCAAAACAAAAATACACACAAGAAATTACAGTACATTGACTATAGTTGTTGATTCATCCTCATATTTAAAATATTGATGCTTCAATGATATTAATAATTTTAGTGTTTGAGAACTTTCCACATTTTATGTTTATAATGAAATATTAATAAGTATAGGTATGATTCAACAGGTTCTTCTCTTCAAAATGAAATTGAAAATGATTTGATTTTTGTCATGGATGAAGAAAAACATGAACAGACACCTTCTTTAACAAGTAATTCAATTACATATATTTTGTTAAAACAATTATTATTTAAAAGAAAGCATTTTAATGATTGTTTTTATTTTCATTTTAATTACAGATACTAAATATTCTTCAAAATACTCTTGTGAGAACTTTGATTATCATGTAAGTTCAATTTTTCAATTTCAAAATTCAATTTTTTTGAAAGATTATTTGGTGTTTAACAATTTAGAACTATTTTTGAATTCATAAAAAATTATTATAATCAATTCATCTTACTGATTAAAAATTTTGATATATCATTATAATATAATTTTATATTGTATTAAATACTTTGTGTCTTGATTGTTTGGTTGATTCAAAATATATAATGAATATAGTTTATATTACATTTATTAGATAAATTATTGTTTAAAATAAAACAAGTCACCAGGGAATTTGGTAACTTCTGTGGACTTAGAGTTTGAGAATGAAATAGAATAAAGAGTTGTTTAGAAGAAAACAAAGGATCAGATACATGTCATCAAAACATATAACAGAGACTTTCTTTTACCATTTATATGTTGCCTGGAAAAATAAGCTGGTAAGAGTTCTTGTTGGACTTTGCTGGCACTGAAACATGAGGCTAAGAGACTAGAAGGAAATCAAATGCTTTTCAATTATATTTAGTGGAACCTCACTTAATGAGTACCTTGCATACTGAGTAATTTGCGTAACAAGTGACGAAAAGAGGGGAAGTCCCGGATTGTGCATGTTCCATCAGTCTGTGTTTAGCACTTGTTCTGCTAGCATCTTAGTTTCACTTCTGATCACACATTTTTCCAAACTTGTGTTCACACATATTATGTATAAACATCAAGAACCATAGCCCGTTATATAATAAACATGCCAAATGATATGCGAAATTCTTGGGCTATGTAAAAGCTATAATTAAATATTAGAAATTAATTAATTTGACTAGAGGGAGGCAATTATGCTGTCATTTCATATTAAATTTTACCCCTTAATGACCACCTGTCATTAATTATGATGTAATTAAGCATAAAAAATACATTAAAAATACTTAAAACTGAAAAGAAACGAAAGAAATGCGTTTATTTTGAAGAAAAAGCTTCAAAGTTTAAGTTCCTTTGTCTTGCCTTTCTGCGAAATTTAACACCGATGAGTCATTGTTTACACAACTGGATGACCTTGAGAACAGCTGGAGTCCAATTTCCCGGGGCATTCTCAGACGTCTCGGGAGGACAAGGGTTTAAAGTAGGGTGAATATGAGCGACGCCTATATTTTTAAATATTTTTAAAAAATTAAGATATTAATTGCGATTTCCGACCCCCCCTAATTAATTAAATTTATATATAATAAAATCGATTAATTAAAAAAATTAAAAAACTATCGGATGATCAATTCCAAATTAAATTTTAGAAATGTCTAAACTAAAAATTAATTATTTATAATTATTAAATTTAATACAAAATGGCAGCATAACTGTTTACCTCTAGTCAAATTAATTTTTAATATTTAATTATAGCCTTTACATAGCCTAAGAATTTGGCATATTGTTTGGCTGTTTATCGGATATATTATCTATGATTTTCTTTTTCTGCAAATCAAATTCGCATTCCAGGTTGGTTTATTCTGTGCTAGAAAATGCACGCTCCTTAACAATGTATATTGTATAATTTTGTTAGAGTAAATGTTATATATAAAATATTTGAGTATTTTTTTTTTAGGCATGGAACACAATCGTATTTTACATTCATTAATTCATATGGGAAAATTGTTTTGCTTAATTTAATTAATGATTGTTTCACATTATGAGTGAGATTCTGGAACAAATTATGCTTGTTATGCAAGGTTCTGCAGTACTTGGATATAAAATTTAAGTAATTACAAAAACTTAAAAGGAGTAATTTTGTTGAATTATGATAAAAATCTTCATTTAAAAAATATATTCATTTAAAAAATCCTATGACACTAGCTCAAAGTTAAAAAAAATTGTGAATGTGCCATCAGTTATGAGATGTTATTAAAAAAGTAACTTTTATATTATAAATTATTATAAAAACGAAAAAAGATTTAATATTGTGGGTAGAGATGAATTTTTAAAAATATTATAAATGTCAATAAAGAGTAAAATTTTTATTAAGTCTGATTATTCTCAAGATACCACTATCAGGTGTAATTGTTAATAATGTGGAATTTGTTCGATAGCTGGCATTACAGATACGTTGATATATATCCAATTTGATATGTATGCCATTGTTTTGAATTGACTACAAGCTTTAAAACTTTATATGACAAATTTCTTGATTGTGTTAGCATCATAGATATTTTTTTGTCTTTTGAACACCATACAGAGTAAACACATGAATACTTGGCAATCTTCACCTTAAGTTTATCCAGTAAAAACAAGTTAAAAAACAGAAACGACAACAGTCATCGAAGGAAGATGCATATGACCAAAAATGAAGACAGCAGATATGTAGACAAAGTACAAGGTGAGATCAATTCAACTAAAAACTGAATAAACTTAAGGTGAAGATTGCCAAGTGTTCATGTGTTTACACTGTATAGTGTTCAAAGGACAAATAATCACCGACACAGTTTCAAGAGTGTAAAATCATAGATATTTTTACACTTAAATATGTCAAATTTTGTCCCCAAAAAAAAAGCATTTGTGGGAAGTTTTAATTCATTATTTTGAAGAAAAGTGCTGCTGTGAAGAAATCATTGTGGTTATCATATACTTCGGGATGCTTATGGTAAACATGCCCATCTCAAGATACTGCAAGGACAAATTGCTTTGGAAAGAGACAATGATTTGCATTTGGTGGGATCAGGAAGGTGTGATGTATTATGAGCTTCTAAAACCAGGTGAAACCATTAATACTGATTGTTACTGACAACAAATAAACAATTTGAACCATGCTTTGATTGTAAAATGACCAGAATGGGCCAGAAGACACAATAAAGTAATTTTGCTTCATGATAATGTACCATCACACACTTTGGAACCAGTTAAAGACACATTGAAAGATCTTGCCTGGGAAGTATTAACCCATTTGCCGTACTCACCAGACCTTGCTCCTTCTGATTTCCACTTGTTCCAATTGATGGCATGCACACTTTCTTAGCATCACTTCAAAACATATGAAGAAGTGGAAAAATGGGTCTCTGAATTGTTTGCCTCAAAACAAAAAAGTTCTATTGGGACAATATCTACAAATTACCTGAAAGATAGGGGAAATGTGTAGCTAGTGATGGACATTACTTTCAATAAAGCACTTTTGATGTTTCATTTGAAATTATCGTCTTTTCTTTGATTAAAAAATCTGCATTATTAACTGGTACACCTGGTATGTGTGATCCTCTCTATCTCTCCACTCTCTTGAGTTCTATACTCAAAACATTAATAGCATCAATGCCTCTTATATAGAAGTTACCATGTCAAATTTTATTCTTTAATCTTTACTGAAAAATTACATTAAATAGATTTATAAGAGTTTATTTTCTCAAGTCGAAGTTGAGTTAACATCTAATCTAATACAAATAATAATCAGAGGATGAAAATACAATAATATGACTTTGGATAACTGCATTACCACATCTATGATACACATTGTTTCTTTTGTGCTTGCACTCCAGCTTGGCATTGTAATTTCATTATGAAAAGGCACATTGAAAATAACGATTTACTTTGCTCCACTATTATAAACAGATTTCAGACATTGATTTCCAAGGTCTTATTTCAATATTTCAAAGACATAAAAGGCTATAAGTGTAATGTCAGGTAATTTGATGAATACCAAATCATTTGTTGCTGCACTTATATGTTATGCAACAAAAGAATGTTGCATGAATGTTAATGTAATTTTGGGTGGATAAACTGTGATGTACACCCTGCAGAAAAATGCATGAATGAAAATAAAACCTTTGTGTAACTCGCCCTACCATGTACCCTGTGCCTCTGCAGTGGCTAGTGAAAGCAAGATGATTACTAGCATTCAATTTAGAAAGTTGACAACTTGAGCAACTAAGACACTCACAACCCTTTTAAACAGCAAAAATTATTTAATAATTAATATTTTTGGTCTTATTAAAAGGCAATCTTCAGATTTACAAAGTATCCCATGGAACATTGTAGATTTAATGGTTAAGAATGCAAGTATAATATAAGTTTTAGGAACAACAAGCATTTCAAATTGAAACAAAAATAAAATACAATAAAATAACATAAATACATAAAATGAATAAATATGATTTTTATTATTTAATTATTTTTAAGTTATGGAATATATAAATCTCAAACACAAACACTGAACCAATTTGCGGTGTGGAACGATCAACTAATCCTAAAAAACAAACGTTTTCGAACCCCTTCTGGGCTCTTCATCAGGTTTTAGAAGGGGTTCGAAAATGTTTGTTTTTTAGGATTAGTTGATCGTTCCACACTGCAAATTGGTTCAGTGTTTGTGTTTGATATATAGGTGTGGTGAGTAGTGAATTTTTTTATATAAATCTCTTAAGGGCAATAAAAAACAGAAGTAGGAAATAACTATATAGACTGCTTGGAGGGTATGTTATGTACTGTACATTTCATAACGTTCAAGGACATTCTTTATTACACTTATTTTTTACTTTTATTTTTCTTTGCCCTTGTGGCTGAAATTTATATATTTTGTAACTTATTATTTTTATTATTTATTTACATGGGGAGATCAATACATAAGTTTCAGTAGTCTGGTATGATGATAAGAATTTATTTACAACAATGTGCAACATAGAATGATAGCTCCATCTGTTATCTTTTTGACATCATTATCTGTATCCAAACATTTGTTTCACCAGTGTACCAGTAGCAGTACCAGAAATTTCCTTGTGAAGAATATCTAGTTTAGAGCATGCAAAATGTGCCACACCTTGCTCTGACATTATCATGTTCTGAAAGTGCTCCTCTTGCAGCTTTTCAACAAGTGAACATCACTTGGCACTAGATAGGGCTATAAGGCAGATGTTGTAATTGCTCTCAACCCAGTTACTGAATGTTCAGAAAGAAAAAAAAAAGAGATGATTATTATTGTTTTTATAGTTATTATTATTATTGTTGTTACTATTGTGATCCATGTAATTTTAATATTTTTTAATTTTGTTATTTGTGTTGTGG